AGGAAACGCAACACTGGTAGAAGCAGTCGCTTTGGAACGTGTCTGAGATGAGGTTCCCCAAGAGACTTGTGTCCCGGAGGGGTTTCTGAAGGAGTGCTCTGGGAGCAGCCCTTGCCAGCAAGGGAGAGGCTCCACTGATGCTGCAGTCAGCAGACACGTTGCCTACATTGCTGGGTGTGATTGGGAGCTCTGGAGCCATGGGGAGCTTTGGAGCTGGGGTGGCCTTTGGAGTTGTCCCTAGTTGAAGCAAGAAGCCAGGCCTTTCCATCCCCTACATCAATCAGTCATGGAGCACAAGCTGTCCCCGGAAGGGTGAGTGACCTTGGGTAAGGGGACTCCTTTGAGATGAGGACAGTTCACAGCCAACACCCCCAGCCTCTGGGGGAATGTCGATCCCATCACAGTCCACCGCTCATGGTGCTGGTTTCATTTCCTCCAACATTCTGACTGGTCAGTTTTCCTGGGTGAACTTTAGCAGAGGAGGATTGGTGGGGCAGACTGCTGTCCCCTCTGCTGCAGCTGATCTCAGTGCACAGCAGAGAACTGAGGTTCCTCTACCCACTGTACCCATTCCACCTCCCCTCGTCTTGAGCTAGGGCTTCTGCTGTTGCGTGCTGCTCAGCTGGTGGGGGTGACGGAGTCTAACCCCTCATTCCCATGCCCTTCTCAAGCTGTGGCTGCAGTATTTGCCCATTGACTATCGAATTGGGCAGGGAGTACCAAAATATGGCCCCATGGATCACCCGGGCTGCCCCTTTGTACTCCCACAGCATTGGGGTCTTCCCTGGGAGGAAGCACCTCCTTGGCCTCAGCAGTTCCCATCAGTCAAGGGTGAGCCCCAGAGAGAGACTGTAAGCCAGGGGCAGCCAATGTTCTAATCCACCCTCAGGGAGTGCCCCCACAGCCTTCTCACACGCACACTACCTGGCCTGTGCTGCATCAATAACTGAATATTTGGCTTCTCTGATCACAACTTCTGTGCTCGACAATTATCTCTCAAACTCATAGCTGACTCCTGAGCAACACAGGGGTTAGGGGAACTGACCCCTTGCTTAGTTGAAAGTCCATGTATGACTTTGGATTCCCCCAAAACTTAATTACTAATAGCCTACTGTTGACCAGAAGCCTTACCAATAACATAAACAGTCAATTAACACATATTTTGTATGCTACATGTACTAATATGTTGTATTCTTACAATAAACTACAGAAAATAAAAGATTATTAAGAAAATCATAAGGAAGAGAAAATACGTTTACTATTCATATAGTGGAGGTGGGCCATCATAAAGGCCTTCAAACTCATCGTGTTCATGTTGAATAGGTCAAGGAGGAGAAGGAAGAGGAGGGGTTGGCCTTGCTGTCTGAGGGGGTAGCGGAGATGCAAGAAAATTCATGTATAAGTGGATTCATGCAGTACAAACATACGTTGTTCAAGGATCAACTGTGTATTATTTTATGAAATTATGTGTCATTTCACAGGTCACCTCAGAACTTAGCTGTTGCAATAATCATGCAACAGGTAATGTTTAACTGCTTCTTTCTTTTTTTTTTTTTTTTGAGACGGAGTTTCACTCATGTTACCCAGGCTGGAGTGCAATGGCGCGATCTCGGCTCACCGCAACCTCCGCCTCCCGGGTTCAGGCAATTCTCCTGCCTCAGCCTCCTGAGTAGCTGGGATTACAGGCATGCACCACCATGCCCAGCTAATTTTTTGTATTTTTAGTAGAGACTGGGTTTCACCATGTTGACCAGGATGGTCTCAATCTCTTGACCTCGTGATCCACCCGCCTCAGCCTCCCAAAGTGCTGGGATTACAGGCTTGAGCCACCGCGCCCGGCCTAACTGCTTCTTTCTTCGCTTAGACGTTAATCAAGAGCCATGCACTATTTCCATTTATTTGTCAACATTCTCTTGTAGGGCTCCCTTTCTGGCCTCAGCAAAGTCTTAAAACAACCAAAAAACAAAACAAGAAAAAAAGGTTGTGTGGG